CTCAACTGAGTCCTTGAGTACTGCCTCCAGTCTATGTCTCTAGCTCAGCCCTCATACCCCTGAGGTTTGCTCGCTTAAAGTTGTACACTGGAGTTTGGTAGCATGTTGGTGCTGTTTCCCCCAAGTTAAACTGCAGGTTAGTGAGCTGTGATCACTGTCCCCTAGTGCAGTGTTGTGGAACCATACAGCTGCGATCCACGTCAGTGTGGCTCACACATACCTCAGCTTCAGAAAAAATCACGAGTCTCAGATAATTCCCACTGACAATTTGCTGACAGAGACGTGTGCATGGATATTTAAACACATTATGTGTGTGCTAATTTGCGCTATATCTCTAATCAGGTTTTTCGATAGTCAATTGAAACAGTCAATACTACTACAATAATAATACTCTTCTGAATAATCGAACAAACAAGTAGACGCAATTGATGCGTTTTTTGAGTGACAATACAATGATGCAGATTTGCATATAAAAAACACACTTCCCACAAACTGTTTTCCATGTATTTAAATTAATATAGTTTCCATCTCATGATGTCTAACCTCTTTGTATGTAAATGTGTTTCAGTTATATACCAGCATCAATGGCTTGTTTACAAAGTTGCATTCAAAATGAACAAATTATTGCATAATTACTGTAAGTTTGAGTTGACGCCGTGTTTTCACGTATATACACGCACGTAATGTCTTTGTTGTAGTGATTCCATCATGACTATGCTATGATGACACTGTTGCTGCATATGTCTTTGATTCACGTCATATGTAACTGCATGATAACAAATGCATTTCTGATGCAACAGTTAAGCACACACCCACACACATCTGCAGACCATAGATTATTTTTTGTTGTTGGCTAACAAGTCATATTTGACGTAAATTAAAGGTTCATTGATCGGGAGAACTCTCATGTGAGAGGTAAGGCCGATTCTAGCTATGATGCCTTTGCCACACACTTTATAAGGATTATAATCTTTATATGGTGTACCCACAGCAGAAATTTCCAGAGTGGGGGGGGAAAAAAAAAAGAGTTTGATTCGCAGCAATCAGTGCTGAAAAAGTTTGGGCCTGTGTCAGAACTCAGGTCAGCCACAAAGTGGCTCCTGGCTCGATTGGTGTGGCTCACACTATTGCTCAGAGGCCACACATGTGGCTCAGTATAAATCTGGGTTTGACAAAACTGTCCTTGTGGATCAACTACTTCCATTTCCTGAATAGTGCCTCTGTCACTGACTATAACCAAGTTCAGAAGGGAACTGCGCCTTGTTGTCCTCCCTGACACACTGAGTCAGCAAGCAACCATGCACTACATTTACAAGCTCAGAATCCTTTTTTGCTCCCCTACTCGGCATTAGTCTACATATTACATTTTTCACAAAACAGCCTTTCCTTATTCTCAAAATGTTCCAGAGGTCAAATAGTGGCTCCTTCTCTCACCAGCATAGGCAGTGGAATCCTTGCAATGGTCTTCAAATCCGTGTACGGTCTCAACCCATTCCTGACAACAGAATCGTCTCCAGACCTATGTAACAACCAGTATCCTCACTCTGACAACTCTGGTCTATTTCTCACTGCCCTCAGTCCACCATAAACAACTGAACCTTCAGCACCCCACAACCATCCTCAAACCCTCTGTCCAATCTACGTCACCTTGTTAACCCTTTCCCGGCCTTCACAAACAGCTTAAAAACTTCTTTCGTTAGCCTTGCCACCAACTAAAGATCAACATCTTTACATCTCTCATTTACATCTCTCTCAATAATAATCCCTCCAAAAACAACAATAATAAATTGGTCATTTTCAATCCATGACTGTTTGTGGGACATTGCTGTGTGCAATTGGCTGCTGCGTTCGCCCACAAATACACTGTCAATTCACTTTACAGTATATTCTGTGAAGCGCTTTCAGACGTCTAGAAGATGAGAAAAACACTATATCAAATGCAAGGATTATTATTATTTATTATCTCTCATTTCCCTGCTCGCCATCTACCTACCACTGTTTGTCAAATGCTTTGAGGCATTATTTTATGTGAAAGATGCAATACAAATGCAAATTGCAATTGTTTTGTGGCTACTGACAGGGTTCTTAGGAGGTGAAAGATGAACCACAGTCACTGGACAATGCCATCATCAGATGTCAATGCATTTATTGCATCCAGGCTTGACTACGCCAACTCCCTGATCAACGGTCTTCCCACCTCTTCCCACCACAAGCTGCAGATCATCCAGAACTCTGCAGCTCAGGTTCTCTCCCGCAGCAGGCTCCATGACCCCAACATGCCCACCCTCGCCCGGCTCCACTGGCTCCCCTTCCCTCAGAGGATAAGAGTTCAAAATCCTCGTCCTCGCCTTCAAAGCCCGCCACGGCCTTGCTCCTTCCTACCTCTGTGACCTGCTACACCATATCAACCCGTCCGCTCCCTCCGCTGAGCAGGCTCCGGCCTGCTCCACATCTCCTGCCCGGCCTACCCCACCATCGGTGGACGGACCTTCATCCTCTGTATCCCCACCCCCATCCTTCAAGGTACGTCTCAAGACCTTCCTCTTCGACCACGCCTCCTACCCCCACCCTCCCTGGTTTCTACCCCTGATCGTAAACCCCTACTCAGGTCCAAGTCCCTGACTGTCCAGCGGCTTGGGACATCCTCCCAATGTAAAAGTCGCTGCACAAATGTAATGTTTTGTTGTTGTCAACAACCATTTCACTTCCGGGGGAGGGGGGCAGCGGTCACAATATATTCATCTAGTGCAGGATTCCCGTCTGATTCTCCTCTCTCTAACTCAGGCTGCTGAGCCCGATTGCTGTTCAGGCTAAGATCAGCAAACTCAAAATAGATTCAATCCTGAAATGGTCCAGTCTAAATAGCTTAGTTCTTTCACTGAATAAACTTGCTGAGCCATTGAGGGATCAGCATTGTCAGTGGTTAGTAAAATTATGATTCGGGCCCACATTTTTCTCCATCAAAATGGATTGATTTGTTCATTATGGCTTGATTAACTGTTTCCTGTGATTATATTAATCTTTCCTTTCATCCTTTGTTCCATTGCATAATCTAACACACTTTTACCTTGCAGTGTTCCTTCCACAGGTCCGGTTAAAGGAAGTGGTTTCAACTGCATCTCTGAATGCAGTCATGTGATTAGAGAAACATAGAAATGTATAGCACCACAAAAAAAATTTGGCCCAAATGATCATTTCCAAGTTAACCAATAGTTTTACATTAATATATTAATAGTCCTTGCATTTGAAATAGCGCGCTATCACGTCTTCAAGATGTCTCAAAACACTTCACAAAATATATGGTAAAATGAATTGACTGTATATATTGTGGGTGAAATGCGGCAGCCAATTGCACACTGTAGTGTCCCACAAACAGTCATAGATTGAGTGACCTTTTTTTTTAAAGGTATTATTACACCCGGAAAAGCGATCCCCCAATCAACTAACATCTGGATTCCTACATACTGTAGGTAAATAGAGGCATGTGGAGTAACGAAACTTGCATAATGTTTCACCCCACACAGGAATCAAACCCAGGTCCTCTCGCTTGCGAGGCGAGTGCTCTAACTGCTAAACTACAGGACTCCACTGCTCATATCTCTCAATCAATCCCTTCAGCAATAACTATCAAATCTCTTGAATCTACTGCACAATCTGCCTCCATCATCCTATTCAACAAACTCATTGCTTTAATGTCATTTAATTGAATCTAAACAGTCTTTTCACCTTCTCTCTCCTGAGCTTGGGTTCCTGTCTTTTATTTTTAGCTTTTGTTACTGTGTTATACATATCCTTTAGGATCTTAGTTACAGTACTTTAGTAAGCTCTCATCTGAGCTTTTTATTCTCTCTAGTGTCAACATTCCAAGCTTCTGTAGACTGTCCTTGTAACTTGGCGCCTAATTTCAGCTATCAATTTGACCATCAGTATACCCTCTCCAATGTCATGTTGCTTTTCTCTGAACTCTCTCCAACACATCAATCTAATGTTACGTTTGAAGGTATGGTGTCCAACGATTTCACAGAGGATTGTAAAAAGGGCCTCACCAATGAAATGATAAAAGGCCAGAATAAATTATCCGACTCTTAATCAAATGCCTTGGAGAAGGGGATGTGACACTGGTTTACAATCTGTCATTGGGCCTGGCTTTCAGAGCAGGAAGACAACATTGCAGCACCAGTCTATCAGCTCACATGTCATTGGGCAATGCTTAGGCTCTCCATGCCAAGTACAGCTCAACAGTTTTTATATTGACTTACGCATGTCATTAGGTCTTGATTAGACTATCTGGTATGTGCCAAGAAAGACACACCACCCTCTATCTGATATTAGCTAATAATGCTACTTGGAGCCTAATGTCATGTGGATCACTCATCTACTGAATTGATTAAAAGGAAAGTATTTTTCAGTCAACCACCCTAATGTTCTGACTGGGAACTTAAAGCATATTTACTTGCATTTCTCATGTGTCTCTCATTCCAGCTAGTTAGATGCAGACATGTTAGTTTAATAGTGGATGTGATCCTACAAGACATCACTCTGGTGGGCAGGGCAGGACTCTTCATTTACGTAACCGGGATGAAGTTTATGATAGGAGCATTTAGAGATTCCTACACAAAATGGCTGATCATATACAGCTTCCAAGTAGTTTTAAGTAAAAATATAATAATCATTGCATTTGATATAGAGTTGGCCAGGACACCGGGAGAAACTCTTTTCTCTTTGCAAATAGTGCCGTGGGGTCTTCAAGTAAAAATATGGTATGGTGTGAGCAGATCAGAGAAGTGAGGAAATACCAGGGCGTGAAGTGATTTGAACAAAAGGGGAAGCTGAAAGAGATCTAGGAGTGTTAGTTGAATCATAACTAACTAAGTAAAAACAATGTGAGGCAGCAATAAATAAGGCAAACAGGATGCTGGGATATCTTGCTAAATTGAGTTTAGATTCACAGACGTCATTATACATTGCTTTTGTCAGACCACACCTTGAAAAATGCATACCATTCTACCCCAGAGGCAGTGCAGAGGAGACCAACGAGGATAATCCCCACTGATAGAGGAATCTGCTGTGAGCATCGACTGGACAGACTAGGGCTCTTCAGCGGTGAGAGAAAATGACTCGAGGGGACCTCATGGGAGGTGCACAACATCTTAAATGGGATTGAAAAAGTAAACCCAGATGAATACTTTGGGGTACCATCATGTCAGTAGAATAAGGAAGTGTCAGGGCGTAAAGTGATTTGAAGAAAAGGCGAAGAAAGAGATCCAGGGGTGTTAGTTGAATCACCACTGACTACGTGAAAACAATGCGAGGCAGCAATAAATAAGAGGACATCGGTTTAGAGTTGTAAACGGCAATTTCAGGATGGATACCAGGAAGTGTTTCTTTTCGCGGAGGATAATCAATGATTGTAACAGAGTTGCCAGAAGACGTGGTAGAGGCCAGCATTCTAGACTCATTTAAAAAGCATCTTGAACATTGATGAGGAGGGACGGTACGGGGGTGTTATGGAGGGATGAGATCGGATGGGTTGAAAGGGCTTCTTTATCCAGACAACTTTGATCTTGTGAGTGTAAGAAATTGATCCATTTCTGCAACAGTGAGCCAGTGGAGCCAGGCAAGAACTAGAGTGATGGGGGTGTGGAAGCAGGACTTTCACCCAAGTGCTGGCTGGATGTGAACCCAGGTCACAGATATGAAAGGTCATGTTGGAAATCGCTACTTGATCCTCCAGCCTCACTGCTCTAAGCTGGACTTGGACTTGTCCAAGAGGTCAATGGTCTGCTCTTGTGCTCTTCAGTATCTTTAACGTCAGTAGCTTTAACTCAGTGCCTTGGTTCATCCTCCTGATGTGAAAGGCGCTATGTAAATGCAATTCATTGTTGTTCTTTAACTTACATGTTGGTAATGGGGGAAGTGGGAGATCTCCAGGGCTCAGTTGAAAACGCAACCTTTCCCAGTAGTACGCAAGAGCTGTGTTAATCGCTAACGTTTTGTTGTGGGCCACAATCCCAGACAGTTCTTGCTTGAGGGGCAGCACTCCCAGGAAAGCTCCAACAGCCTGCACCATGCTGTGTGGCTTTGTGCTCTGGTAGCGTGCTCGCGATTCCAATCATGTCATTGTGATCGTTTAGAAGCCAAACACCAGCACTGACCTAAAGAAGACCAAAATAAAAAGGGGGAAATCAATGCTCCAACACACCCACACAAACACACACCCACAGCACCCCTAGGCCTTCAACAAACCCCTAGAGAACTTGGGGCACAGCAAACGCCAAACATCTAGGTGTGAAACACATGCTGTGTAGCCGTTCCATGTTTCATATCAATCAATGCTCATTTGTTCAGCATGACTTAACATTGTTTTAAGCTCTGTGAATTGTGGAATTCCAGCACAGGGAATAGAATGAGTTCATCTAATGTTTCCCTGGGGTAGGAGAGTGGGTGTTTCAGTGTGTTTTTTTTCTATCTCTCTCAAATCACAGCTGTTTGAGATTATTCTGTGTCCTCTGACCCACATCCAAGTAGCAGAGTTGCCTAAACCCTGAAGAATCCAGTGAAATTCTTGATTAATTAAAGAGTTTCCTTCCCAAGTGTGATTCATGCTCTGGCTGGTTGTGGTTCCTCTAATGCAAACCCGCCTGGGGATTTGTTTGTTTGTCCATCCTTCCCTTCACCATCTCTGTGGATAACACCATGTGGCTGACAGAAACTTGCTCACCAAAGCATTTGCTTTTCAATAAGGCCTCATGTGACCCTTGGCTCTCAACCTCAAGGAAGCATTAAAGTTGCACCAATAATTTGTAAAACGTTGCGTTAAACTTTCAGAAGAGTCTGGGGTTGATAATATTGTGCATAAGATTTTATTGCAGTGATCAATGGAATTGATGATGCATTTCTTTATACAAATTCTTTCCACAGAATGTGCCTCTTTAAAGAGACAGTATTCTTTCTACACTCGACTGCAAGTATCAATAAATAGTGTCCTTTTTTGTATTGGCCCACAGGTTAAGCTTCAAGAAAAAAAAACCCACTGTTCTTTCTGGACTTCAAAATAGGTAGTGGGTTTCAATAGAATACAGCAGCCTTTGAAGCATTGCTGATCACTTGTTTGCACAAAGCCTCACTGTGGCTACGCAGGCCAGATTAGCTGTGATTATTTATATCTCCATTTGATATAAATAATTCTGTCTAGGATGAAAAAGAAGAAGATGGCGTACGACAATTGGCGGATGCAAGACACTGAGGATAGCAAAGCGCATTATAGAGAATGCAGGAGTGATCTTAAAAGAGCGATAAGACAGGTTAAAAGATCACATGAGAAGAGGTTAGCGGGTAACAAAGAGGAATCCTAAAATATTTTATAAGCACATAAAGGAAAAAAGGTTAGTTAAAGGTAGGGTGGGGCCAATCAAAGACAATGACGGCAGTCTTGTTGTGGAGGCAGAGAGCGTGGCCTCTACCCTCTCTACCCTAAACGAGTACTTTGCATCTGTCTTCACAACGGAAACGGATGCCCCAAATGCCACAGTATTGGATGAGAGGGTAGAGGACATAGATCAGATTACTATAGACAGAGAGGAAGTTCTGAAAAGATTGACTGGGCTCAAAATTGATAAGTCACCAGGACCAGATGGGTTTCACCCAAGGTTGCTGTGGGAGATACGGGTTCAAATAGCGGAGGCTTTGGCCATTATATTTCAATCGTCATTGGACACAGGAGTGGTGCCAAGAGACTGGAGGGTGGCTAATGTTACCCCACTCTACAAAAAGGGGCAGAAAGACAAGCCCGGAAATTACAAGCCAGTCAGCCAGTCAGCCAGTCCGGTAATAGGAAAGCTACTGGAGACCGTAATCCGGGACAAAATAAATCTCTACTTAGAGGAACACGAGGTAATTAGAGACAGCCAACATGGATTTGTTAAAGGCAAATCTTGCCTAACAAATCTAATAGAATTTTTTGAAGAGGTGACTGCGAGGGTTGATGAGGGAAATGCGGTGGACATTATTTACATGGATTTTAAAAAGGCTTTTGACACAGTACCGCATAAGAGATTAATAAAAACACTGGAGGCCCACGGTATTAAGGGGACAGTAGCCGTTTGGATTAGGAACTGGCTGAGTGACAGAATGCAGAGGGTGGTGGTTAATGGGTGTTTCTCGCAATGGAAGGAGGTGTGCAGCGGTGTCCCCCAGGGATCGGTATTGGGACCACTGCTCTTTCTAATATATATTAATGATCTGGACTTGGGCATAGGGAGCACTATTTCCAAGTTTGCAGATGATACCAAGTTAGGTAGGGTAGTAAATAGTGAAGAAGATTGTGACGGACTGCAGGCAGACATACACAGAATGGTGGAATGGGCTGACATGTGGCAGATGGATTTCAATGTAGATAAGTGCGAGGTGATACACTTAGGTAGGAAAAATGATAGGAGGCAATATAGGCTTGGTAGCTCAATCTTAAGGGAGGTGAACGTACAGAGAGATCTGGGAGTTCAAGTAAGCGATTCATTGAAGGTGGCAGAGCAGGTAGATAGGGCAGTAAAAAGGGCATTTGGTGTACTGAGCTTCATTAGTAGGGGCATAGAGTATAAGAGTAGGGAGGTTATGCTTAATCTGTACAAAACACTGGTTAGGCCTCAGCTGGAGTACTGCGTCCAGTTCTGGGCACCTTACCTCAGGAAGGATATTAAGGCACTGGAAAGGGTGCAGAGGAGATTCACGAGAATGATACCAGGAATGGGGAAGCTTAGCCATGAGAACAGGCTGGAGAAGTTAGGACTTTTCCCATGAGAGCAGAGACGGTTACGCGGGGACCTGATAGAGGTCTTCAAGATCATGAAAGGTTTTGACAGGCTCGATAGAGAAAAGCTGTTTCTGCTGGTAGGTGTGTCTGTGACTCGTGGTCACAGTCTTAAGATATCTACCAAAAGAAGCAGAGGGGAGGTTAGAAGAAATTTTTTCACTCAGCGAGTTGTTAGAATTTGGAATGATCTGCCCGAAAGGGCAGTGAAGTCCGATTCGATAACAGCTTTTAAGAGAGAACTGGATAGCTATCTGGAAAAGACAGATTTGCAGGGTTATGGGGAGAAAGCTGGTGAGTGGGGTTAATAAAATTCAGTTGCTCTGTCAAAGAGCCGCACAGACTCGATGGGCCGAATGGCCTCCTTCTGTACCGTAACATTTTATGATTCTATGATATAGTACCCATAATGTCAAATAGACAGTCACTCCACTTCACAGTAAATCCTGTGAAGTGCTTTGGGACATCCTCATGATGTGAAAGGCGCTGTACCAAGTGCAAGGATTATATTATTATCAAATTAGAGTGACCCTTTCATCTCTTTTCCCCACTTTTTCTCCATTCCTCTTACATTCCCAAGTACCAATCTCGCTTTTAAAAATCCCAATTGATTCTGCCTCAATGGTTTTCTGGGGCAGTGCACTCCACGTTCCCACAACTCTCTATGAAGGAATGTGTTTTGATTTCAATCAGAAAACATTCATACTGAAGATTTCGTGCTGCCTTCCTTTCCACAAGACTGCACAGTGATTTGGTTCCACTCTCCAGGCTGCACTGGGAAGCACATAGTTTTCTGAGGTGTGTATGTTTTTATATGTTAAGGTTTCCTTTTTTATTTATTTTTCTTTAAAGACTTCCCTGAGCCTCTGGGATGGGGCCAGAGCTGTGGTTGTATCAGAAATAGCTGGTCAAGTGCTCCCTTAGGAGCGGAGTCTCTCACTAAAGTAACACCAAGTATAAGCCCCAGGGTCAAAAAGGATCAACAATACATTTCCCTGAACTAATCATTTCATCCGCTTCTTATTCCATCAGTTCTTTTTTGGTCCACGGAGACTGTTTGTTCCATCACCTGAGCAGCTCCTGTCCTGGCTGTACACAGCTTTGAGCAAAGTCAGGGATGGACCACATGACCACCTTTACAGCCAGAGAAACAGCCGTCTGCCCAGACCACAGTTACCTGTGGGAAACAGAAATTCCCACTCACCTGGGCAACAACATGACAAGTGTAAGATGACACCCCAGTGCAGTGATGGGGGAGCCTGGTCTTTGTTTACCACACTCTCAGGTCTGAGTCAGATGGTTGCAGATCCAAGCCCCATGTCAGGTCTTTGGAACTCATAGTCTAAGTTGACACTCCAACAACAACAATAACTTGGATTTATATAGCGCCCTCCACACCGGACAGTGTCTCAGAGCACTTCACAGTAACGGATCCTGGGGCCGAGCCAGGGGGAGGGAAGGAAGGTGACCCAAGTCGCGGTCAAAAAGAAAGGTCTTCAGCTGAGACCTGAAAATAGGAAGAGAGGGGGCGAGGCGAAGGGAGTTTGAAGAGCCTCGGGGCGTAGTGGCTGAAAGGCACGGCCGCCGAGGGTGGAGCGGAGGATTCGGGGGACAATGAGGAGGCCAGACCCGGTGGAACTTCAATGCGGTGTGGGGGAGTGCTGCATTGTCAAAGATGCCCTCCTTCGGATCAGACATTA